CCCGTTTTCCCATTCTCCCATTTCCCCCACTTTCCCGTTTTCCCGTTTTCCCACTTTCCCGTTTTCCCACTTTCCCGTTTTCCCACTTTCCCGTTTTCCCACTTCCCGTTTTCCCACTTTCCCGTTTCCCACTCTCCCATTTCCCCACTCTCCCGTTTCCCTGCTTTCCCGGTTCCCCACTTTCCCGATTCCCCACTCCTCCCGTTTCCCCGCTTTCCCGGTTCCCCGCTTTCCCGGTTCCCCACTTTCCCGGTTCCCCGCTTTCCCGGTTCCCCGCTTTCCCGGTTCCCCGCTTTCCCTGTTCCCCGCTTTCCCGGTTCCCCGCTTTCCCTGTTCCCCACTTCCCCGTTTCCCCGCCTCCCCGTGCCCCCGCTTTTATTAGATATGTCCTCCGAAAAATCGAATTCCCGTCTTTCCCTTGATGAAATCTTTGATTCTCAGTGAGAGGACCACTCAAATAATTTTTTTAAGGTAGAAGGACTCATCGCATCGGAGAACTGACCCCCCTATAACCACCGCTGGATCGCCCAGAACACGCTCCTAAATTTTCATGACGATCGGTTCAGCCGTTTTCGAGTCTATAGGGTACCCCGGACATACAGACAGACAGACAAACAGACAGACAGACAGACATACGTTTTTATATATATAGATATAGATATTTCCCCGAGGCCTCGTATAACTTCTTTATGTAAGTCTGGGCTGTTCGTGAAGATCAGAAAGTCGTCGACGTAGATCTTCAAGATGAGAACTTGAGCTCTTCGCTTAATGTAGTGACAGCATCTATCGGCTTTGAACTCGCAGAGGCCTATTTTCTTCAGGCTTGCGTTCAGGGTTTCGAACCATACCCGCCCCGCCTGTTTGAGGCCATACCATGCCTTCTTCAGTGGACAGACTCCGCCTCCCTTCTCAAAGATGGCAGGTTCCTCCATCAGCACCTCTTCTGCACCTGCAGATTCCCGTGAAGGTACGCGGTCTCCACGTCGAGCTGATGGACTCGCCATGCACTACGGGCTGCGTGGGCGAACATCAAGCGGATAGTGGTCATCCTCTTAGCTGGCGAGTACGTTTCGTGGAAGTTTTCAATTTTTTTTTTATTTCAAAAATGGAAAGAAACATCACAGTGGATTCGCAGAAAAACTCCTCAGGCGCACGCAATGGACCTAACTAGAGTCCGTGGTACGTTCACGCCGAGAATGATCCCTAACAGTATCAAGTGTTGGCGGGGGGGGGGTGGAAGGCGAGTGTGTATTAGAACAAATGATTTTTGAGTCATCACTGATCGGTGATGAACTCAGCCTCGAACGTAGTACGTTCGATATCTAAAATGGGTTTCGACAAAGCGTGGGGGATGGACAATGATGTAAGAGTTTTGGAACTTGGGCATATGCAACAAACCCCACAATCTCCGATAAGATCTGGTGTGCGATCTGGGCGAGCATCTGGAACTGCTGGAACTGGGGCCGGAAACCATAGCCCGGGATGCGGCCACCGAGCCGGGGCATCCGATAGTGGTAGTGGTGGGGTACCCGCACCGCGGGAGGAGCCGACGCTGGGACCGCGAAACGACGTCAGATCAATGGCAGCGTCGAGTATGGCTCGGAATTCGAACGCTTGCCGAGAATTGAGGTGTACTATATCAGTCGACAATTAAGGGTGAAATTTACCGCAAAATTTCGTCATAGACAATGTTTCTCATGCGATTGTTCGGTGAGGCAATTGAAATCCCGCCTCGACTCGTTGCTCTCGAAAGCGCAACGTAAAGTTGACCGTGAGCGAAGATCGCTTCCTGTAAATCGATTCCAACGCGAGAGAACGACTGGCCCTGTGCCTTGTTGATAGTCATACAGAAGCTTAGACGAATCGGAAACTGCCTCCGTCGAAGTCGGAATGGGAGTGTCGCATGAGCGTAGTAACAGTCAATTCTCGGAATTAGAACAGACGACCCTCTGTTATACCCAGTTGCGAAGCTGCAAATCAGTACTCGAGATAAAATCTCCGTAACTATGAATCGCGTACCATTACACAAACCATTTTTCACGTCTAAATTCCTCAACAGCATGACAATACATCCTGTTTTCAAGTTCAATTCATGGGGCGGAAGGGTTGCCGGCGTCATCTTATTCAGAAACTCTGTAGGGAAATGAGATGCGTCACTCGGGTCCTCCACGATCGCTTCATCCTCGCTTAGGAAGGTCTTCTTCTCGCCCGCTAGTTTGTTCAAAACATAATCATTAATTTTCAATGCCTGAGCGTTTTTCGGCGTCAGAATCGTCCGCTCGGCGAAATCTATGCCGTGATTTTCGGCGCAGATGTCACCATAGATAACATCTGCGAGATTTCCTTGGCAGCGCATGTCCTCCGGGATATCCATGTCCGCAGGCAGCATTCCGTCTCCTAGTTGATGGAGCCATTGCCGAAAAGTTAAATCATCGGAGCTCAAACGCATATTCCGAGATAAGCGGACTTGCTGGAAATGTTTCCATAGATCTGAATACTTGAGACATGAGTCTACTATCTGACCGCGAGATCCTCGCTCGACGACGGGCAAAATTTGACGGAAATCGCCGCCGAGAACTATGGTCTTACCACCAAAGGGTGCGGTATTCTTCATGATATCTTGCAGCAATGAATCAATGGTTTCAAGAGCAGTCTTGGGAGCCATTGGAGCCTCGTCCCATATAATGACGTCCGTGCTACGTAAAAGTCCTGCCTCTTTCGATTGCCCTTTGATGCTGGATGAACGACTATTGTTCGGGACAATCAAACGGAAAGCAGAAGTCACAGTCCGGCCCTCAGGCAGAAGATTGGCGGCGATTCCAGTCCATGCGTCATTCATCACTTTAAAACCTTTGGATGAGGCTAAGTGGTAAATAGTCGTGTAAACAAATGTTTTTCCACTACCACCTGGACCGTCAACGAAGTAGCATTGTCCTCGTCGATCTGCAATCGCTTTAAGAACTTCATCCACAATAACTCTTTGCTCCGGATTCAGCTGCTGATATAGTTCAGCTCCGAACGCGCGGTGTTCTTCGAGATTGACGGCTGTCTCGATTTCCTCGAATTGCGGTATATCGAGGGGGAGGAGAGCATAATAATCCCGCCCGAGTTCTGAAAGCCGCTGAACGATATCGTGAAAAGCTTTCGACTCCGCCATTTCGGTCGACAGTCCCGCATGTATGAAGTCTTCCATGAAATTCGGCTTATATTCCTCCCAAAGTTGCACAGTATGCGGTGGTTGTATATCCGCAAAGGTGATCAAGGCAACAAAGAAGCTCCGCAGTTGCCGTGGCATGTTCTGAGCAGAAGCTTCTTGAAGAGCGTCTCGGGAATATGAATCGTCTCTCAGATAACCACTCGCTCTCGCAGCCTCAACAAAAGAGGAGTAGGTTTGACCGCTCACGGTACGAACATCTTCATAGGAGGTGAAGCCTGTCCCATACAACAGCAACAGGCGCAAAGCGAAGCGCTCGTGATCTTGAGGACTAACGAAGTACATTCGTCCGATGTTACGATTACCACCGCGCTTCCGTTCCTGCCATCGCTGGTTTTTAAAAATGAATTTTTCGGGCATCTCATGGTACCGGAGTTTCCGAGAGTCGATCAAATCATCGGGAATCATTCCGTGTTCCTCTTGCAAATCTCGGCAGCGCCGGTTTTTGTCGAAGAAAGCTGTCAGGGTAGAAAAGCGATCTCTGGCCGAAATCAAAGCAGCTTCTTCAGTACCCGCTTCGAACCGGACACTTTCGAAACCTGGTAAATGTATTTGCAGCCTGGTTACGGCATCACTGCGATCATTCAATGGAAAGGCGAAAATTCGATGAATCGCCTCTGGGGCACACACATAACGGGTGTCCCAATAAGCATCGATCTCATCGTGTGCCTCCTCTTCCGGCAACCGAGCCTGCTGCAAACGGATTCTCGCTCGATCTGGTCCTTTATAAAGATACTTATAGAGATACTTGACCGCGTGAAGGAGAGCACAAAGCTCGACGTTGATGTGAGCATCGAAGAGGAGCGTCAAATACGGACAGAAGGGCACCACAAAACGATTGTCCAGGTGCACCCCCTGGCATATGATTCTGCGGCCATTCTGACGTCGACGATATTCCGGATAACCTTCGGCGGAAAGCGAAGTTTCATCTCGGAAATTTTTTGGAAAGCTCTTCGAACACTGCCCATTGATCATGCACGGTGAACTGGGATTGTGCTTCCCACACGGTCGATGGATCATGCACGAAGAAACAATCTTGTAGAGCTCAGGAGCCGCGATAGGATCGGGGAGCTCGGCGGAAATCAGAGAGTCCACTTCACTCGGGGTCCTCAGTTTAGAATCACCACTCAGGGTCAGAAGCATGTGCATATGGGGCAGGCCCCGCTTCTGGAACTCAATCACATATATGTACGCAGCCACCTCCCCAAGCACTTGTTTTCTCACGACCTCGTCACAAAACGCCTTCACTTTGAGCTGAAAAACTCGTGCGATCAAATCAGGTCGCTCCGAAGCAGTCTGCCCCTGGCTGAGATTCGAAGTTATTTCTGGCCAAGCTGGATTGCATGTAAAGGTTAAGAACAAATCCGGCTTGCCATATTTGGATACGATGCTCATCGCGTCTTGGTACTGAGCGATCATATATCTCGGACCTCCATTGAACGTTGCGGCTAGGACAATTCGTCGTCCGGGCTGAACAGAGTCATCTGGGTCGCTCAACATATAGTCTTGGAGACCCCGTACTGTATCCAGTCGTAGTTCTCGTTGATTCTGACGAATATAATTAAGGCGATTCATTTCAATCTTCAACCAACTGTCAACGACAAACTGCTGCAAGAGTCTTCCCGCGTAATGCAGAGGATTGAAGAGACCATCCCGAGTAAATAGCAGATAGGAATAATACTCCTTCTGGGTGACCCTACAGCGCCGAGATGAAGTCGGTTCTCGTCGTTCCATTTGAGGGTGCCATCCCTCACCTCCAGAAGGGAAAAATAAGGGATACGAAAGCGGATCACAGAGTTTGTCTAAGTAACTTATAATTCGGAGATTGCCGGTACTTTCATGCACGACCAACAACCTTTCCCCAGGAATGTCCTCTTCATCACCCACGTAAACCACGGCAACTTCGTTTGCAGTTGCCGCATTGTAGCGCCGTTGGTCATCATGCTCGTTCTGGTGGAAAACCATCCGCACTGGTCTTCCAGGACAACCATCCCGTTGGGCCCTCTCTGCTTCTTCATCAGCGACTTGAGCCATGAGCTTGAAGGCTTGTGCATAAGGATTGGCATCATTGAGTATTCTATGGAGTAGACCGAAGGTGTTCGGGCAGCAGTTCCGATTTACTTCCCGTCCAGCTAGCTCTTGAGCCGCCTGCTCAGTATCCATGATCAGAACCTGAGCGCACTGCGGTAACTGTCCACTCGGAGGTCGAAGTCCTCCGATCCTATGATAGACTTGACCGTGGACACGGAAGCAGTATGGGCCGTTTCCTGAGGGTGGTTCTATCTTGGCCGTCATTGATGCCATCGCAAGAGCGTTATTGTAGTTCCGAATATGCTGACGAAAACTCTTGGAGTCTTGATCTTGGTTGAGGAAAAGATCACGCAGAGGCGGCGGGAATCGTTCGAATAGCGCGACGTGAACCTTACCTTTGGCGCAACACGTAGTGTAGGCACTACCCCCGGGCATCGTTCTCTCCCCTTGGAAATGGGCGGCCATGCATGCGGAGCATTGGCTGTCCATTCTGCCTAAGGAATGAGCTTGAGTAGGATAATGATCGACCTCGCGTGCCCTCCCTCTTGTCTGTCGAATCCCTTGGGCACCTCGCAAGGCTCGGCCCCTCTGCAGCTCTGTGGCTTCCGACTCACACATAGGGTTCGTTTCCGGTGGATTCTGATCGACACTGGAACGAACCTCGCTTCGAGTTGCGCCGTGATCGCTCGTCAGGCTTGAATCCGAAGCTTGGTCGACTCCTTCCTCGAGATTCATTCCACGATTTCTGGTTTTCTGTACACGCACTCGATGGAGTTGCCGATACGACCGCGTCTGACGACGGCGAAGTCCTCTGCACTTCGGCATATTATCTCTTCGATTGTTCTTCACTTGCACGAAATAAAATGATTTTGGGAAAAACGGAATGGAAGGATAGAAAGTTCGTTATCATTTCGAATTTATCCTTCGACCGTATATTACAGCGTCATTCAGGCTTGTGCCTTGATGGTGCGAAGACTGCGGACATGGGTCGCGAGTCGCGAGTGAGCTAGAATATATTGACTGGAGTGAATTGAAAAATATCCTAAGTCCGGCGATGGGAGAAAACAATCCCCCTTAAGCGTCGATAGGGATTCGTCAACCGTATCTCAATCGGAATTTCTGTTCCACCGTGCTTTGGAGCATCGTTTGTGATCTAATGCTATGAAGACTGCAGAGAGAATTCGAAAATGAGTAGGAATAACCCCCTGCAGAGAGAATTCGAAAATGAGTAGGAATATCCCCCCTATATGTATATAATTCGACGAGCGTATGCGATGGGAAAGAACGATTTCCCATGAGCGAAAATAATTCGCCGAGCGTATGCAATCTCATTTGGAATTTCTCCTTCGAGCTTGCGTTCCAGCATCATCTGTGAGCTCATGCTACGGAGACTGAGGATTTGAGTCGGGAAATTCACCCTCCACCCTTTAAAATAGAAGCGCAAGCGCTCCGTCAATATATTTATTGGATTGAGTCGCGAAAATGTCATATATGTCACCATCAGCGAGTCATATATGTCCCCATCAGCGATGACCAAATTCGAACGAAGAGCAATTTGTGCCTTTCGAACCACAATCGGACACAGCCTTCATACCTAAGTACCACAGGGTAGCACATGAGTGTCGGAGTCAAAAAGAAGGGTTTTTCGACAATCAGTAGGCGGGGAGGGGCAAATGAGAACATTCTGGGGACATTCTCTCGGAATCGGGCCAGAAAGACCCATCAGCTAGAACGAAAGCGATTGCAGCGGTTTAAAGTACTATGCGTACTTCAGTACCACATAGTACCACATGAGTTCCGAGGTCAAGTATGAGGGTTTTTTGACAATCAGTGGGCGGGGGGGCATTGGATAAGGAAAAAAACATCAACTTGCACACCGGGGGATCATTCTGCAACCGCCAAACTACATGTGCGCCGAAGTTGGCGAGGAGAAAGAGCCGAAAAACGGCTCACAAACGAAGCGCTTACGCTTTTATTCTATAGGGGGGATTTGAAATCTGATGTCTCTGGTCCACGACTCAACACAGCCCCCCCAGGCCGCATGAAGTGTTGTATTCGTCCGAGAGCAGTTCTTCCGCAGCGCGAGTCGATAAATTACATCTCTCTGAGTTGGAGAATACAAGTGAAAAACATCATAACTATAGTTAGCCACAGCCATCGTGCAACAATTACAAATCACATTGGGCTCGTCTGCTGCTCGAGTGGATTGACTAGCAAGGGGAGACAATGTCGTCTCATCTATAGAAAAAAGAACGTCCTCGAATAGCAGTCAGCCATAACATGTAGAAATTTCACATCAGAGAGTTGTTTTGCTCCTATCCGTTGCAACAATTGAGGAATAGCTTTTCAATCACCTGAGACGCTCGAGTTCCCACTCCGATGAGATCCAAATCGGTTTGTCGTTCTCACTCCTCTTCATGAGCAGTCGTCCTGACTTATTTATCCAGCAGAATTCATACTTTAGAGCTTCCTTCTTCTTCAGAGCGAGAAACCTCAGTCTTTTCAGCTCTTGGGGAATCAGTCTGTAGACGGCAATCTCCACCGGCTGAGCGCGTGAACATAACTGGTCAGCTCTCAACTTTTTTTGAGTCTTCTTAAGCTTGGACATGTTATCCAGAATCCCGTCGGCAATCAGCCGATTAGTCAAGTTCGCCACGATATTCTGGCAGTTGATGCCATTCAGTGTTTTGGGCTTGCCGACTCTGTACGCCGAGATGATCTCGTTCTCCGCGACCTCACAGCCGATCTTCTTCGCCAGTCTTAGGACAATCTCCTTCGGGTCCATCATCGGCTCAAGGGGAAAATTGATCACCTCCACAGAGCTCTGTCTGACCTGGGTCTCGAGCACGAGCAGTCTCTCATTGTTCCGCGAGAGTTCTTTCTTGACTGCGGCCACCTCGTGTTTCAGCGGAGCGATGCTATCACAGATGGTTGCTTCCACACTTTTCAATCTTGCTTCAATTTTCGAGAAAAACTTCTCCAACTGCTTAGTTTGAGCATCACTGAACGCAGCACACATTTTTCACTCCGAAAAACTCCAAAAATACAGGAAAACCAACTCCGCTCCGGGAATCGAACACTAGCCTCGAACGGATGAATGCATTCTGAAGGACTTCGGAAGGACTTCGGACTTCGTCTGACAGCAGCCCCGACCTACGAAACGCGCCCTCAGCTTCATAGTCCGCCCTTCGCTATCTTTCTTCCTCTGGAAGACCCATTTCGACGAGATCACCTTCTTGTCCATCGGTCGCTCGACAAGTATCCATGTCCCGTTTTTCCGATGGGCTGCAATCTCAGTCTCCATTGCTGTCCTCCATCCTTCAGCTTCCTCGCTGTCCATGGCCTCTGGCACCGATGACGGAGCATCACAATTGGAGGTTCTGCTCTGACAACTGATACAGATATAGTCTTTCTTCCAAACTGGTTCCTTTCGGGAACGTCTAGAACAGGGATGTCAAACTCAAACCCCCGGCGGGCCGACATGGGTCGCTGTCCGGGTCCGCGGGCCATGCCGGACTTTCCGTCCCAATTCCAGAACATCAACACAGGCCCTATGTGAAGTCCATCCGTAGCCTTCTAGACGCGGGAGTACCCAATACTCTGCATTTCTCACGATGACAAGCTCCGGATCCTCTCTGCTCTCACGAGATCAAGATGTCAAGAATCGGAGCGTATGTTAGACGTCGGATATAAGGACCGGGACGCTTCGCGGGCCAAGAAAGAGAACTTGGCGGGCCAGTTCGGCCCGTTGGCCCGCGATTTGACATCCCTGGTCTAGAAGGTCGACGTTCTTCCTGGACATCTTCATCGTCGTTAGGAGTTGGTTCAGAACTTGAGAGAATAGGTTCAGGAGCGAGCTCTCCACAATTTCATTCGAGCACACTCTTCTCCGACAGCGATTGATGAGAGGTGCTTTCTGCGGCTTCCTGCCAATGATGGCGGTCTTCAGCCGATGTTTCGTCATGGGGAGGCACATGGGCGGCCATAGTATACTCGTCGAAGATTATGTCTAGAGTTGCGATATGAGAGGACATTTCTTTCCCGAAAAAAAGACAGTGTCCGCGCGGACATCAGGACAAAAAGCGGACACTCTATTCCATGTTTTTTGCCCTTTCCATGGAATTGATTCGACTCTCCAACCATTTTCCTAATAAGCAACAATCGACTGAACTTCGATGCCCTAACGATCGCTCAGAGACAATTTCCTGAGTGAGAAGAAAATTTCCGACCCAGCCCCCGGCGCCTCTGGCTCACGCTTGTGCAGCCGAGACCTCGGTGCCCTCGGCGAAAAAATAGCGCAGAAATTCAATTTTTATCATGGAATTTAGCGGTATTTCCTCGAAAATTCCGGAAAGCGGACATTCCCGAGAAAACCCCAAAAAAGCGGTCAAAGCGGACAAAAGAGGACGTGTCCTCTTATATCGCAACTCTAATTATGTCCATTTTCTTCTTGACCTGAGTCTTGTCGTTGATCGGAATCAGTCTGTATGCCCCCGACATAGAACAATAACCTACAGAAATGAACTTCTCTGCCTTCGGATCCCGCTTCTTCCTCATCTCCTTCGGAATGTGCGCATAGGCCAAGCACCCGAATACTCTCAAGAAACTCAAGTCCGGTTTCTTTCCTGACCACACTTCTTCCGGGCATACATCGCTCAGCGCGGAGCTCGGACTTATGTTCTTCACTTCGCAAGCCGTGTTCACCGCTTCAGCCCAAAAGCTCTGATCTAGAGCTGCATCCAATAGCATGGTCCTCGCTTTCTCAACCAGCGTTTTATGGGATCTTTCTGCCACTCCGTTCTGCTCCGGAGAGTACGCGACCGTCGTCTCGAGGCGAACGCTTTGTTCCTTGAGGAAACTCAAGACTCGATAGTTCACGTACTCGGCCCCATTATCGGTTCTGAGAGTCTTTACTCGTAACCCAGTGTGTCTTTCAGCATATCGCAGGAATTCTCCGAGCTTCGAGAGCCTCTGTCTTTGATTTCATGAAATATACCGCAGTCGTTCGTGTCAAATAATCGACAAAAGTGACGAAATACCTATAACCTCCGATACTTCGAACACTCACGGGTCCACAGACATCGCTGTGAAGTAACTCCAACTTCGCGGCGCTCGCCGATCGTGACGTTGGAAATTTCCCCCGCTGCAGTTTCCCCTCAGCGCAAGCGCCGCAGACAGATCTGCGCTCCGGGATTCTCAACCGCCGTCCCGTGCTGACTCACCCGCCGTCCCGTGCTGACTCACCCGCCGGTCCCTCCCCGACACCCGAGCGTTTCTGGACTGAATTAATTCCCGGTCGCTCGTGAACCACGGAAGCTGCGAGCGCATTGATGAAAGACTCTTCCAGGCGGTATGATCCGCCGCCTGAACAAACTGCAACAGCACACAGCTCATTATGCTCGTTCTTCACCTCGCACCTCCGCCCAAATTCAACTTTGAAGCCTTCCCTTGTCAGCTGCTGCACCGATATGAGACTGACCGTGAGCTTT